TGTACCTCTGGTGCAAATTACTGACCTCTGTCATCATTTTAGGTGGGGGAACTTGCACAATCGGTGGCTGACTAAATACTTTTTTGCCCCACTGTAGGTCTGTTCTAGTCTAAGTGCTCTTTGTTTAGATGAACTGCTGGACTTCCTCACCGTGTTATCTAGGGTGAACCATCTAGGGTGAGCGGGAGACCACCCTCTTCCTGACCAAGGATGTTTGCTTTTGTGCTTTCATGTTATATGACCCTTTGATCAGCAGTACCACACACACACACACACACAGGCAAGGTACTCTTGTATGTAGACATCATATGTTAATGACCCTATGCATATTCATGTAACCACAATAAAAGGAGTGCTACGGGGAACCTGGCTGAGAGTCTGACGGAGGTCAAGTGGTGGAACGACACTTGGCTCCAGGCAGGTCTCCCTCATGCATGAGTAACAAGAAGAACTTTGCCTACTTGGTGTTCAATGCTTTTGCTGTGTAATTATATTGTCTTCAACGTTCCAGCGAATAGGTTCAAGCTACAAACCTATCACTTGGCATGGGTTTTGCTGTTATTAGCTACAACATGTTCCTCTGCAGTCTTACAAATTCCTCCAATATCCTCCTGGAATACTGACTTTACCTCCAATTCATTTACATGACTTTAAACTGGAATATTGAAGAAATACAAAGTTTTCACAGTGTTCTGTGCAGTCCTTTAAAATGTTAAGTGCACCCTTACTGCTTCCCTAGGAATAAAGAGGGGGAGTAGTAGCCAAGAGCTGCTAATTGAACTGATTAAGTGATTATCTGTAACTATGATAATACTCTATAAAGGCAGACGTTTTTGCAGTTTGCTGATCTAGAGAATGCAGGTGTGTGTTAGCTCAGTGCTACAATGTTCCCAGGAGTGGATCTACTAACAAATTCAGCCCAACGTCAGACTCAGGGAACAAGAGCGACATCTCAAATCTGCAGGCCTCATATGGCCATAACAGTACGTACTGGTTATTTGGAAGGGTAGCCTGGAGAATGTCTATTCTATTAAAAAAATTAAAAATCATGGCAGCACTTTGCAAAGATGTACCTTAACAAGGCACAGGAGTGTTGCAATAATGTCCTTAAGAAAGACCAGAAAGTTTGGTCATAATGGAAAACTTGTTGTTGGCAGAAACCAAATACAGCATATCAGCACGGTGGTGGAGGGCTCATGATTTGGGTTGGTTCTGATAGCTTTGCTGTTTTTGGTTTTACAAACTGTTCCCACAAAGTTGGGAGCATAAAATTCTAATGATAATGACTGCTTTGCTTTGTACTTGAATGCAGCCGCTTGGCCATGGAAACCTATTCCATGAAGCTCTCTACACACTGTTGCTGCGCTAATCTTTAGGCTACATGAAGTTTAGAGGTCTGTAACAATTGACTCTGCAGAAAGTTGGCAACTTCTGTACACTATGCTCCTCAGGATCTGCGTGTTTAAGGCAGAAAATAACTAAACTCTGGAAAAAAAAATGAACATGCAGCTTTGTTTTAAAAGCCTTTATTTCACAGATATGAGGAAATCACTGCTTTTACAATGACATGGCCAGTGAGCTTCACAGCAATGATGGCGACTTTTCAAAAAATGTTACCGAGTGTTAATTAAAACAAAGACAGAGAAAGGAGACTTTATAAATGCAATTAGATGGGATTAAACAAATTATAATTTTGTTTTAGGGCAGCATTTCTTATTAAGACTTACTTATGTAATAAAACCTTTATCCGAAGGGCACAGCTTGTTAAAGACTGAACTGAAGGAAATGCCTCTGGTGTGGTGCTCACAAAATATACACAAGTAGTTAGTAAATACAGTCTGGGCAATCTGAGATGTGAAATGTGCATGTTCAGTCAGCAATATAACGGAACAACACGTGCCTGATAGCAGGGAGAAAGACTGTCCTGATCTATCATCAGCAGCTTTACAGACATCAGTGTTAATATGAGAAACAACAAAAACAGCAGACGAGTTTGAGGTGCTTCCAGTTGGTTCTTCTTCACATTTCTTTGGCGCTCAGAGGACTGATGGGTTAATGTCTACACATTAAGAATGAAACAGTTATGATCTGCTGATGATGCACTCTGCTGCATGGCTTTATGTCTTAACTATGTTTCGTACCATCAAAGGGTGTGAGGACCTGTTTTTTTTTCTCTCAGAAGAGTCCATTGACCTGTTCGGTCTCGGGGTCCAGGTCGATGTCATAGAAACAAGGCCGAGTGGGGAGGCCAGGGATGGTGGGCATCTAGGATAAACCAAAAGAGAAAGAATGGAGCTTTAGCTTTATTGATTTTTTTTTTTTTTTTTTTTAAACCTGCCCCTCAACAACTTTTACTTGCCAACTCCAAATCTGAAAACAATGTTAGTGTAGCATGCCCCATTTTCTTTTTAGTTATCCAAGTATCCAAGGATAACTAGATTGACTGGCTAGAAACGTCAGTGACATAAGTTTGAATACGATTGCAGATCTGAAATCAGAGTAAGAAACTAGACTAAGAGCTTCTCTGAATGTCCCAGTAATAAACAAAACATTTTTTTGTCGAGCAGTGTGATCAATGATGACCTGGTTAAACGATTGAAGTCAGTTACCAAACAAAGGTGTTTATATTGTTCGCAGTTCACATTTTTTGTTGTGTTTTTTTTATTAATCATATTGTTACTTCCTAATAAAAGCCTCTGGGTGAGAATATTTGGTGGAAAAAACAAGGGATGGACCAATCTGATATACGGTATCGGTATCAGTCCGATCCGGACTTAAGATTACTGGATCGGATATCGGGGGGAAATAGAAAATGTAACCCGATCCATTAATTATCACAAAAGCACCTTGCAAAACTTGCTACATGGCGCAACCCAGGTAGTGACCTTAACAAGTCGAAGCAGTATGCGTCACGTGATAGAGCAGCTGTTGCGTGCGAGACCTGTCGGCGGTCTGGAGTTACTTTACACTGAAAGCATCAGGAGCCTCGCTGCATGCTGCCAAACCAGCATTTCATCTCCAAGCAAGCTATCCCAGAGAAGTGAATTAAGTGTGTAAGTTCATCTCTGAATGTTTGTAAAGCATCCCTACATTAAGGTTAACAACCGGTATACGGAGCTCGGACGTCTATGCGCTTTCAATCTGACTGTACAATGGATAGACTCAAGTTTAACTTTGGAAAAAGAAAACTGTGTTGCACGCTAAACAGATCCGTGGTTCAAAAGAAATGAACTAAAAAACAAAACAAAAAAACACCTTTTTTTATACTTGTGTTAAGTGTTTTATATAAATTACACAGAATTCAGTCTCAGCTTAAATGTGATAAAAACAGCTTACACTGACATCCATCTTGACAAAAGATGAGTGTCATGAAGCCGTGTTTGCATTTATTTGCACTGCTTTCCACTCTGGATGTCTATTTATATAAAGCTTTAAGTATAAAAGGGTCCATTTTACAACTTTTTTAGTTATTGAATATAAACATTATTTTGTGCTGATATTGCACTTCTTTTTTTCAGAACCAAAGGGTTTTTGAAATCTGCATAAAATTGCATTTTCTTATTACTTTTTGAGAAGGGTTTCCTACTTCACAGTAGCTTCATAGGAAAAAAAAACTGTGAGAAACTATCTGTTTAAATGAACTGTATGCAGTAGGAATACAGGTTGCACCAGTTTACTATAACACTGAATGCACGCATGTTGCAAACACACACAAACATTTTCTACTTGAAATGCAAGGGATGGTAGATCCCGCTTTTCAAAATAGGTATCTGAGTATCTCGGTTCAATCTGCTGAATTATGTCAAATTAATCCCAGTGGAGCTTTCAATGCTTTTTCTTCTTACCATTTCCACAAGGAGGCTAACAGCGTTTTTGTTAGTTATTATTATTTTGTTAATTATTCCATGATGCAGCTAATAATAAAACATGTGGGTGTAGAAAAGGCTTCATCTAGATCCGGTTAGAGATGGGATGAAACTACAGAAGGAAGTCTTGATGCATGCTCAATCGTCCAGGTAAGTAAATCCCAAAAAGTTGATTCTGTTCATCTGGATGTGGCATTTATAGTGGGAGAGAAAATTACGTCACTCATCCAAGTGACTTCTTCAGTCTGACCTGACTGCAGGTTTCCCCAACTTTATAAACCGTGCATTTGCATAATGACTGTAACTAGCACCACTGACGAACAGTGGGTTGTGAGGTCATTTCCACTGGAGTAAATTTGGTTATCCCAGCTGGACATTTGTCAAAGCTAGGTAGGCACCTAAAGAAAGCTCCAGCAGATCTAGAAGAGAAGGACAACTGTTGCCTAAGTAAAAACCCTACGTGTCAGGAGTATCAGAACAGTTGCGATGCATTTTCTCTAAACACAGTGCCTCTGCGGCTTTTAGACGCCAAAACACGCTGAACCAAAAATGAATCCACCCCAAGGATCAGGTACCCCGGCACAAACAGAGTAAGTAAGTACACTGTGCCAGGAGGATTGCCAGGATTTATACATCAGGGAAACCAAACAACCTCTGGCTAAGAGGATGGCACAACACAGAAGAGCTAACTCGTCAGACCAGGACTCTGCAGTCTATTTAGACCTGCAGGCCAGTGGACAGTCTTTCAATGATGAGGATGTAACATCCTGGACAGGGAGCAACTGAAAACGTCCAGATGAACAGAATCAACTTTTTGGGGTGCAGAAAGAAGGGAAATGAATTAGAGCTTACTGTGCCAACCAACGGGAACAGAAAGCCAGCGCCCACACTGGCTCTGATGTCTCTGATTGGCAGGATGAATCCTTTGGGCACACCTTTCTTTTCTGCTTCATGTGACAGTGACAGGTGGGTCTTTGCCATGCAAACTGGAAGATTCGCGAATCCCTGAAGGAGAGGCAAAAAAGAAGGATCTTTACAAAGGTTTATTCTCTCTGCTCTGTTTAATTGTATTGATCTCAACTGACAGCAGACGCCAACAAACAGGCCTGACAGGACAGGAAACAACAGCTGAGGGATGTTCACCTGCTTGGTGTAGAGCGCCACCTTGTGTTGGGCCTCAGGCAGAAGCTCAATATCATCTGCTCCATAGATCTTCTGAGCAATTATTCGAATCTTATCAGCAATAGGAAGCTAAAGTGGAATCAAAGATAGATATTTTAAGTCATAAATAAGCAGATCATGTGTTGTTTTAAAAGAGTGACTGGTGAAAATTAAGTTCGGAGCCCTTACGTCCAAATCATACAGGAACTTGAAGTTGCTGGGGGCGCTAGAGGCCTTCTGGACGGCCTCGCCAAGTGCCACAGCACCAGCGCCACCCTCGGCCCAGTGAGAGCATCGCACAGCATCAAATGCTCCTGCAGATTTAGCCAAGGTGCACACCAAGTCCAGCTCAGCCTCCGTGTCTGTCCTGCACAACAAATGAATGAACAAAAATAAAATAAAAAAAAACATGCTTTCCACATATGTGCACATTCTTATATATGTTATTCTATTATTCTTTTTTTAAATTACCATCCATCACTTACTTGAAAGCATTCACTGCTACCACCACAGGCACACCAAAGTGCTTTGCATTTTCGATCTGCTTCCTCATGTTGTTGCAGCCCTTCTCCAGCAGATTAAAGTTCTACATAGAGGTACACAAACACATTCAGTAAAAGGTTATGCAAAGCTTTAAAGGTTGAAAAGCTTGCATCAAATGTGATTAACAAAGTAGGCAGACATGGCTCAAGCATTCTGCACAAACTAATAAATAAACAATGTTATCAAAAGCACCTTAGAAGAATATTATCACTGTTTTGGCACATTCTTTTCCATTACCTCTTCCACATATTCCTTAGGCAGTGGCATCCCAGCAGTGACCTAAACAAAAGAGACAAGAGAAATGTGAAATGTTTTAGTTAATTCAATAAATCCTCAAATTGTAATCAGCAGTGACTATTGTAATCCTCCATGTGTTTTATTCTTAATGATTACTAAGATGCTTAATTTAAAGATTAAACATAATTTTGTGGACAATTGTGCTGAAATTGTCTTCCGGAAATGGAAAATTGTGAACATTTAAAATTGTAGACAAGTGAAAATGCTCTGGTGGGGCTTTTTTTCTTTTAAAATAAATTTGTTTAAAGTGGGTTTAAAGGCTTGATCTCATCATACACACATTGTTACAGTAGTGGATTCTCATATTGAATGTTCCCCATTTTGTGCACAAGTAATCGTCTATTAGCCAACAGCTCCCAATTCGCACTGTGCTAAATGCCCCATTTCAACTCTTGGCTCTATAAGATCTCAAAGAGAGGGGCTCTCTCTCTCTCTCACTTGGTATTCTCGGGCATAACTCTGGCAATGAACACCCACCCATGTTCTGCTAAAATCTTCTATTTACGAGGAGCAGCCAAACGCAATAAAGGGGGAATTGAGCTAACACAGCTCGTCTCACAGAGTGAATGAACTGAGGAGTGGCACCAGGGCCAGGGGGAAACTTACTGTTGGTCCTCCTCCATGCATCTTTAGAGCTCGGATGGTCGCCACCAACACCACAACATGAGGCCTCAGGCCCGAGTAGCGGCACTTGATGTTGAAGAACTTCTCCATGCCGATGTCAGCACCAAAGCCAGCTTCTGTCACTGTTGCACATAAGTGACACAAGCAGGAAAGTATATCAGAACCCAAGCCATCAGGACTACTGACTACTATTATCCACTGACATTACATGGACTCCATCACTTTTACAATTAACATCTACAATATAAGCTAACCCTGTTAAAAAAAAGCTCAAACTGATTCTATTCAGCTTACCTACAAAGCCCTCAGGTCCAACCAGCTTCAAAGCAATTTTATCAGCCAGGATTGATGAGTTTCCGTGGGCAATGTTGGCAAAGGGGCCAGCATGAACAAACACAGGAGTCCCCTGTGGATCCAAATTACTCACATGAATTATTACAAAACTGTTAATGCAAGTAAAAAAAAAAAAAACTAACAGCAGTTTGATCAACAACAATATCAAACGACCTGAACTACACAGAAATGCTGTTAACGTGGTCATGCTGCATAGGAGCTGCATGGATTAGCATGGGCACCGTGTTTCACCCACCTCCAACGTCTGCATCAGGTTTGGCTTGATGGCATCTTTCATCAGCACAGTCAGAGCGCCACTCACGCCCTACAGAGAAAAATCCATCATTTTCATGAATATCATTATCACAGCACTTACGCTGCATGACGTCATGTCACAGCGGAGGGTTTACGACACTCACCAGATCCTCGGTGGTGATGGGATCTCCCCTCCGACTGGTGGCTACGACCATCTTAGCCAGGCGCTGCCGCATATCCTCCAGGCTGCTGGTGAGGGCGAGCACCGCCATGATTTCGCTGGCCACAGTGATGTCAAACTGGGCCTGGAGGACACAACAGTCCAGTCATGCAAAGCAGCACTAAAACTAAGTTTATTAAACCAACTTTTCCTCAAAGGTTCAACTGCTTTCTGTATATTTCATGATGCTTTATGATACCATGAAAGAAATTTGCCACCTTTAGAGAATAATCAACTTTACCTCTCTTGTGTATCCCTTTTCAGTGGGCGACTGGCCGATAGTGATCTTCCTCAGGAATCGATCATTGGTATCCAGCACTGAAGTGAAACAGAAGGACATCATAAGTATTTGTATAAGACGCACAATACACTCACAGCAGACCTGCTGAGGCGGAGACCTCTATGCTGTTCATACCTCTCTGCCAGGTAACAGAGCTTGGGTCGATGTCCAGGCGGGCAAAGCGGTTGATCTCCTCCTCAGTGAGAGCAGAGGGCTCAGTCTTCTGTATTCCCAGTTTCTAAACCAAAGAAGAAAACCTCGGTGTCAGAAGTGACCTGTGCACATCTAAATCAAAGCTTACACGTGCTGCAACTTGATCATTTACTTTGAGTCTGTTGATCTGGATCGGGGAGAACGTCCTCTCTCCTCCACTGAGTGGCACCAAACGGTTATACAGAGCCTAGATATTCACAGGCAGAGATGGATTATAGTGGTGACTCATTAGATAAGTTAGAGGAAGTGTACTTTTTATACACCAATGACAGAAATGAGAACCCACCTTATCAGACTGTGTTGCTTCATGGAATATGCGGGCATCGACAGCAGCAGCCACCAAGTTATTGGCAGCTGTGATGGCATGAATGTCACCGGTGAGATGGAGATTAAACTGAAAAATCAAAATAATCAATTAAATATTTTGCTTTCTTTGAACTTTTAGAAAAAAAAAGCACAGTGTCAGAAAAGCGATGCTGTACCTCTTCCATTGGAATAACTTGAGAATATCCACCTCCTGCAGCACCGCCTGCAAACAAAAGGATAAAGAAATAAATAAAACATACATGAATATGTCCCTGTAGTAAACATGGGCAACATCTCCTGAGTTTACACTCTTTCGAAACTCACCTTTAATGCCGAATGTGGGTCCCTGAGAAGGCTGTCGGACACAAGCAAACACATTGAGCTTCATGTGAGCACCCATGGCTTGTGCCAGACCGATGGTTGTGGTGCTCTTACCTTCACCCAGAGGCGTGGGAGTAATGCTGCAAACACAAAATGTTGTCAACATGTATGCCCAAAGCCCTCAAAGGCAAAATATAGTGTTCTCTTTGACAAATAGCTTCATCTCAGTCACTTTAAGCGTTTTTTTTTTGTTGTTGTTGTTTTGGTTGGTTGATTGATTTTTTTTTTTTTTACATTTGCAAAAATATAACAAAAACTTTCATGACCATACGATGAGTTTTATGAGTGGATTCTGCAGACCACCATTGCAAATACAAAGGTGTCTTAATTGACATGTGTAGTTAAATTAGGGTCATACTGCCTCACTGCGCCATCTTGTGGCATGAAATGGTATTACATAAACATCAACCCTAGCCTGAGTTGAGTTCAACTTGAGCAAGGGTCCGTTCTTTGTACCTCGCTAAGTAAGTTAGCTGGATTTGATTGTTGACGATTTCGCGTGATCCTGGGGCCCGTTCTTCGTACGTCGCTACTACATCCAAGATCAAATCATCGCGCTAACCGTGAGCTCGCTAATCCGGTTCTCCGAACACACCTTCCGTTGACGATTAGTACAGCTGGACGCAGTAATGTGACATCACTGGGTGTCGTAAAAGGGGCTACGCATCGATAGTAGAAACATTGATCGGCAACCCT